CGTGGATTCGTTACAAATGCCATTAAGGAGCCACTTGGAGGAGCCAGAGCGAACCTGGATATTGGTTCAGATGTATCTGTGCTCACTGTACTACTGTCAGGGGATATAGTTACATAGTTTCAGCAAAGGGTATTGGAGCAGTGACAAAAAGTTATTTTTTATAAATGTTGCCTTCTGCAGCTTTAAAGTCCATGAGGCTTCACAACCCCTATTAAGCATTGGTGACCCCTAGTGGGGGCTGGGACGCTTGAAACATGACTTAGTAGCCTAATATTTTTTTTTCTGTAACCTGACTCTTATTGTACATGTTCTAAATATGAGTGGATTTCCTGGTTTCTGAAAGGGTTTAGAGGCTGTCTGTGCTCTGACCTCTCTGGCTGCTCTCTCTCCAGCCTGCACTGCCCCCTCCATGTAGCCGCTCCATTCTGTGGCTGTCTCTGTGCCTGCAAAGTACAACCTGCCAACTGGCTCCCTCAGCACCCTGGAGACAGGAAGAGACAGAGAACATGAAAGGTTACATAGTTTCAGCTGATTTATAAGGTTTAAAGATGGCCTTTAATTAAATACACAACCATTACTCTCTGCTGTTATGGCTGTTTGCCCCTGACCACAACTACTACTACATTGTTTTACTGCATTATACTGTTCTGTGTGAATTTCTAATTTATTTAATTAGTTGCAATTTTCCTACCTAAACAAATGTGATGATGGATCAGCTGATTTAAAAAGCATTAAACCTCTGAAGACCTGCTTTGTTTGAAAGATCAATGGAGGGGTCTCAACCTTTTTCCTTTACGGGACCCCTTTTATAGTCATTTACTTAAGCCTTGGACTGAGTGTACAGTACGATCGGCCTGTAAACAACTGCTGAACTCGGTGATTCGATTGGCAGGCTCAACAAACAAACAGTATAATAAAATAAAATAACTAGACAGCTGGTGAAATCTTCCATCACAGCTGTCACATGTAGCCTGGCTGTGCAGCAGAGGTGTTGTCTTCACCCTGAAGTCAAACAATGTGAGGACCTCTGTAAATATTATGTGACTTACTTTCCATACTGGGTAAGGATTCCTGGGGGGAAATAGGCTGTGTAGCAGCCTCCAGAGTATTGCTCTTCACACCAGTTCTTCTCTTCATAGTGCACCGGCTGACAGACACAAGAAGACACATGAATGGTTCAACTACTGATGCAGTTCCACTGTGGCTGTACAGTGGAGTACAGTATGTGTTAGTGTGTACCCAAACTCACATGCAGAGCCTCTTCTGATCCCAGCACTCTGGAGTAGATCTCACAGATCCTCTTCAACCTAAACGCAACAAGACATCAGTTTGGATTAAACCGATCCTACAGCTTGTGGGAGTGTATTAATCCAATGTATCGTCTCCACTGTGCCCCTACCTTTCCTCTTTGCTCAGCCCTGATAGCTTTCTGCACTTGCGGGCAAGGATGAATCTGTAAGAGAGGGAAAAGACAAATATTATCCAGTAGAAAATATGCCACTGCACTAGTGAACAAGTTGCTCCAGTCACACATTGTGTACACTACATGGCCAGATTTGGACACACTGTGTACTTTGGTCTGTTTTTAGGTTCCATTTCAGATAAATCTTATACCATACTGTGATATTTTAGAGAAGAGGGTGCATTCACTTTTGTGGCAACAATTTGGGAAGGCTCTTTCCTGTTTGAACATTTTAATGTGCCTGTGCACAAAGCCAGGTCCATAAAAAATGTTTTTCCCAGTTTGGTGTGGAGGAAATTGAGGAGAGCCTTCCCAGAAGAGTGGAGGCTGTTACAACAAAAATATGACATATCTTATCCTATGTGCCACAGAGCTCCACTGAGGTCCAAAAACTATTAAAACACATATTGAGTCACACTGTTTACTAGTTTATTTTGACTTAGTTCCACATACACTGTCCTGCTGCTGTGAATACTCACTATTCCACCAAATGTCAATTAATCCAGTACTTTACTCCGTTTTAGTTGTGTTTGTTAAAAAACTACCGCAAGCAGCTGTTAAAGGAATTACCCTTATTTGAAAATGAAACTATATGGTTTTAGTTGTTTTTGAAGATTTATGTCTTCAGTAGGAGTCAGTGGGCTTGGGGCTTAGAGCCACAGATACTACACACAGCTCTCAAAATGATGGATGGATGGATGGATGG